AATCGCAATTAATTTTTGCACAGCCCTAATATATATATATATAAAGTAATAAAAAAAAAGTAATAAAAGGGTAAAAAGTAAGAGTGTGAAGTATATATGAACCGATGAGATCTATATGTGTACAGAGTTTCATATTATTACATGCAAGCGTGTTTGATTTAAGGACCAAGTTTTCAGAGCCCGTTGCAGGGGGCGCTGTCGAGCCCCCCTGCCACGCCTGGGTACCAGCTTCAGCCCAGCCCTGATGGCCGTGGGTTCTGACACATGTGCAAAGTTTTTAAGAGTTTGAGCATGTTAAGGGCCCCAAAAGTGCCCGAATAGTCAATAGAACATTTTTTTTTTTAAAGTATCCTAAGGAAAACAATAGGGCTTTCGCCCTTTCAGGGCTTGGGCCCTAATAAACATCTTCAATAATAATCATAATAATAATAATTTTGTATATGATTCAAATATAATTGATCTGATATGGTATTTCACCTCTCTAAAAATATTACATTTAATTTATTGTAATATCTTAGCTTCAAAATTCAAGTTATGAATGCCCAAACTAAAAATGTCAACCTTGTTGAGCCCATTTCCCACGGTGCCTTTACCTACCAAAGTACCCACACAACACGGCCCGCCCCCTGGGTCATTTGTTTTCGTCTCGCTTGTATTTACCAGCGGTCGTGCCGATAAGAGCTCTCTAACATGTGCTGCGTGGGCCGTCACAGCGAAAAGGAATATGAGCTATTAAATGTTTCAGTGACTGGGCACAACCTGTCCAACAGACTGGCAGCCACTCACTATTAGTCAGCCATGGTGAGTGGGCAGGACACTTTCATGCCACTATGAGAGAAAGAGAGACCGGAAAGATGACATTCACACCCCAGCCTTGTCTCTAAGAAACACGGTCGCCTACCATGTCCCTCGCAGATCTTCTGTTGATGTCTTCTTAAAGATGGGGAAGAGATTCGCACGAGTTAAGACACAGGAAGATGCGTGGAACAAGCATGGGTGTCTCTGTACGAAACAGCTGTGCTGTAATCAGCATACTGCATTCTGGACGGGAAATGTAATTGTTGTTTAACTGAAACAAAAAGCAATGACCCTTTCCGTGACAAACAAGATGCTGTTTAGTTTAGCGTGCTTTGCCTTTGGGCAACTCGCTAGCAGAGACAAAAGCCTGCGTGAGCACCTACTAATACAGAGACAAGCACCATTCACTGAAAAGACCATCGTGATGCTGTATTCATGAATGTATACATCGCTTGCCCACAATGGAATCCAAAGACCACCTGCTACTTTTGCACCGTACTTGCGTGGACCTTAACTGAAAAAACAAGTGCACTGGCCTATTTTATCACTATTATCACAAACTTTCACAAGCATTTCTGCAAGTCTGTTTCTCCCTAACTTTCCATCTATACCTTTTCCCTCACAACAAAAGTATAAGTTAAAGGAGTAGTTCACTTTTAAAACAACTTTTGCTGATCTTTCTTCAGTCGAAAAGAAATTAAGGTTTTTGATGAAAACATTCAAGGATTTTTCTCCATATAATGGACTTTACTGGGCACCAAATGGTTCAAGGTCCAAAAGACAGTTTCGGTGCAAACTGCAAACTGTTCAAAGGGCTTTAAATGATTCCAGACGATGAATAAGGGTCTTATCCAGCGAAACGATCGCTCATTTAAAGGTTTATGAGCTCAAATGGTGGCCTTGCTCTGTTCTGTAATGCACGTTCGTGACTCTCCTGTTCGAACTCGTTTATCAAAATGAACGAATCTTTTTGCGTGTCATTTGATTCATTCAACGAACAAAATGAACGAATTGACTTGGAAAAAGATTTGTTCATTTTGTTGAACGAGTTTGAACAGGAGAGTTGTATTGAGAACAGAACCGGAAGAGAATACAATGCTGAATAAAGTCGTAGTTTTTGTTATTTTTGGACCAAAATGTATTTTCGAAGCTTCAAAACATTCTAACTAACCCAACTGGTGTCACATGGACTACTTTGTTGATGTCTTTATTTCCTTTCTGGACAAGGACAGTATATCCTACATACATTTTCAATGGAGGGAGAGAAAATTCTCGGAATAAATCTAAAATATGTTAAACTGTGTGCCGAAGATGAATGGAGGTCTTACAGGCTTGGGACGACAAGAGGGTGAGTCAACTCATTAATGACATCATTTTCATGTTTGGGTGAACTAACCCTTTAACTTTTGATGAATTTATGAGAAATCTACAGACACAAACAGACAAAGTGTAGTAAGATAAAGACAAAGATAAAATGTGTAATAAAAAAAAGTCAAATATCGCAAAATGTTTTGCCTGCCGTGCCTTGCCTTAATTACATTTAATATTTGCTTGTGAATAGATTGACAACGCTACAATGGTATTGGCCGAATAATTACGTTGCAGCGTTGCTAATGCTTATTATTATACTAGGCCAATCTCTCTTTTCCTGTTGCCACTTGTGTTTGTCCTCTTGAAAAATAAATTTGTAATTTATCACATTTTGCAGCATCCTCCTCCAATCCCTTTCTTTTTTTCAACCTGGCTTTTTCAGCCCCTCCTGGCCTCTTTCTCTATCCTCCCTGATGCGTACAGTTATAGTATCGCCGGCCCAGCTCTCGGTAACCTACTACCTGAGAAAACGTTTTAAAAAAAGACGGGCTATGGACCCAACCAACTCTATTTGGAAGAGGAGGTGGCAACTCCCTTACATGGTATAACCCATGCAGAGGCTGCCCGCTGCAGTGTTAGAATGTGTTCCACATGTGTGTAGCCCTTTAATAGATAGATAGATAGATAGATAGATAGATAGATAGATAGATAGATAGATAGATAGATAGATAGATAGATAGATAGATAGATAGATAGATAGATAGATAGATAGATAGATAGATAGATAGATGAGAAAAGTCTCGAGGACAAAGTTATATTTGAACAGGGCAACTGGGACACAGGCATCCAGAAGGGCTGACCCAGTGACTGGTGGTGGTAATAGATATTAAGGCAGCCCAGCTGTTCACTCTGGGATCATTTATGTGATGATGCTGATGTTCTGCATGAAACAAGTGCTCTGAGACGTTATTAGTCACAAGTGGAGGAGGAACTGTCTGCCGCTCAAGCTTTGATCTCTGAAACCTCATGAGGGCACTGGGGTCAGAACCATGGGCGAATTAACATAGCTCGAGAGTACCAAACATAGAAAAACAAAGACAGAACAGTTTCGAAATAAAAGAAATTACATAAGTGAAATGACTATACTATGACTTTTTCTAATAACCACCTTTTAACATGTTTAAACCAACAAGACGATGAGTAAATCATAACAAAATGTTCGTTTTTGCATGAAAAATTCCTTTAAATTTGAACATATAATATCTGTCCAATTGTCTTAAATATGAGCAATATATACTGAATATATACAGCATGAGGTGTACATTAGAATAAAATGTAGCCTACTTGATCAGTATGTTTTTTCCTGTGAGTTAAACATGACCTTGAAGTTGCTTTTAGAACTAAATATACTGTATAAATATGTATTATCACCCACTATCATATATATGGTTTCTATGGCACCTTGATCCTTGGTGATTAAGTGAGTCATTCTTTTGATGGAAATAGAACACATACAATATATGCAGAAGGTACATATCTTCTCTCCACCTTTCATTAGTCAATTAAAAAAAGCGGGAAACATGCCTGTGAGAATGGAAACTACATAGCCCGATGCTTTCAAAGTGCTCAATAGATAAATAATTTCTTTGCGAGAAAGATCCCGCGCTACTGAAGGATGCAATTACATGATTGCGGTCCTCAACGTGCCAGAAAGAGCAATTTTGCGTGTTAGTCCACAATGATGGTGCGCTTCACAAGCGACCTGACAGGAACTTATCACGACGACTCGTCAAATTGAGCGTACATATTTGATTTGCACTGCCATCTACAGGAGCAGAACTCTATGGGGTGGGTGGTGAAGGAAAGGAAAGCCTCAGAGATCTGTTGTGAGGAGCAGATTCACCTGTGTCAGAAATATCCAAACTATCCTCGCTAGAAGAAGAGAACTAGGTAGGTTGTTATTTCTGCAGTGGTTAATGTAGGCTACTTCAGAACCATGGACAGAGACCGTCAGTTTTCGGACGCAACCACAGCAAAGGTTAGTTGAACCCTTTTTTGATATGAATTCTCTAGAGAAAATACAAATAGCTTCATTTAACTGAAAGCACAGACGTATTAAGTGTTTCCTGTACTATTCAGAAAACTTACAGTGCAAACAGTGCAGTCCTGTTTCCAAACGAACAAAGCGACTCGTATGAGTCGGTTCTCTTTAGTAAGCGCAACCAGTCATATTCCTGGACGAATGAGTCTTTTGCGCTAGTTCAATCAAGGGAATTGAGATGGGAATCAAACCCACATATGAATCGGTTGTAGCTACTGTATTAACCTAAGCGCGAGTCATTATTAATGTTGTCATGCCTCACTTAAAATGAATCGAAGACTGATAGTGTGATGTTTTACTTAAGTTATGAATCAATATCGATAGCTGACGATGTCATGGTAAAGTTATTGGATTACATTTAAGCTATCTAAAAAGTAACAAGTGAAAAGTCGTTTAAAAATGTTATAACTCGGTTTAAATCAGAAATTAACTCATCATTTGGCAAAACTGTTGAGGACAGTAGCCTAAATGCAATAGGCATTTATTTTTTTCACAAATAAGTCTTCCTCAAAAAAGTACTAAAACTAATGGAACAGCAGTCGTTGCTTAGGGATCAGAATCGTTCTTGCTTACGATTTCTGTTCCTAATAAACAATCCTGGATAATCGTTTTCATCCAGCACGTGAGATCCGGGAATTCAAATGACGCTGACACAGATGCATTCATGCATTATTGCTTTGACTGAATTACTCAACAATAAATTCAACAGCACACTTTTTCGATAGGCTATAAATGCCGGAAAATGGTTTAAAACGCGACATAAATGCTAAAACATCAAGGGCAAACCTACCTCAGTTTTTAGTTAAGACAGAGCGATGTTGGTCAGCTTGCAATAGAACATATTCGTGTAGACCATTAAATCCTTTGAGTATTTGAAAGAAATTCAAATCCCAAAAATCCCAAACGTTGGCTTCACGATGTTGACAATCGCGTGATGTTGATTCAAATGAGCTTCGGCACGAAAGGGGAGGATGAGAGGATCAGAATTCCCCAGAGAAACATTCACGAGGGCGAGTTCACATGTTCTCACTGAAGCTCTGTTGAGTCTCGAGACGTTAGCCAAGTCTCAGTTCAAACCATCTTTTCTCTCTAAAGTTTCAGTGCTCCAGCGGTCGATGATTTTGACGGTGTTCGGATTTGATCTAGCGCACATTTGACGATAGCAGTCACTCAGTGTTCTTTCTATAGTCCGTAGCCGCATATGAGATAATAAATTATGTACCGAGTTTGCAATTTACAATAAAAAGAGACGTTTCAGATGAGCGACCATGAAGAATCACAGCGTATTCTCTCCTTCCAAGAACTGTAAGGGGTTCTGCGGAAACCTCTGCGTACATGAGGGAGTGACGCACAAGGTGTTTAATAAAGCATACTGTAGCCTATTGTCAGTGCATCATTATATAGTCTAGTGGAAGTGCAATTTCACCATTAACTTGACAGCTATAGATTCAGAAATGCCACGCTCACGATGAACTTTTTAAAACACTGCAATGGGTTAAAAAGAATAAATAATAATATTTAATGAATGCATACATTACATAGAGCCTAATTAAAGGCTATCTTTCAAATAAATAAAGATTCTAAAATAAAAAAAATATATATGAATAAAAAAAAATCAACAATAAAAATGATCAACTGTTTTTCTGAATGACGTCAACTAAACCTGTATAATGTATAGATGCCACTTTCATCTGCCATCTTGGTGTGGTCAAAACATCTTAAAGTAAAATAATTTCTAAGATGCCACAGCATTGTGCAAAAAAAACGCCTAGATTTAACTGGTGAGAATGTGTTGGTTGTGTTTTTATGCTTTAACTCGATATCACAGTATTTTAAACAATGATTGTGTGAGCTTACACCTTCGTCTTGTTGTATGATGTTAATATTAAACTAAATCCTATGATGAAGTCTATTGCAGGTGTAGATATTCATACATCATATAACTACGGTTGAGGAAACACGCTCAACTTTCTCTCAAGTGTTCACGGACTGTCTTTGACCACTCCAATATGGCAAACGCCACTCCGCCATAGGCACAGCACTAATGTGGCATGCATATATTTCTAGTTAGAGAGCTACAATTTAGTATCGGTAAGTGAGAAAAGTACTAATCTGTCTCTTAATGTATTGCAGTCCCATTAGAAGGTTAACTATGACATTGATGCATAAATGTATACGTGCTTTGAATCAATAGTGTAATCAAGACTGAAAATAAGATGTCGGCTGATCTGAACAAATTATCATAATAGTTGTTCAATGGCTAGATGTACATGAGTTCTTATTCTTCTGACTCCACACTGTTCAGTAATAGTCAGTGGTAAAAGGTTAATCAATTGTCTAATGAGCTTGGTTGATGAAATCAATTTAAACAGCTGATTGATATGGGTCAAAAGTGTGTGGTCCATCTTCATAAAGACCAGAGAGCAATGAGCTATAGTGAGCGGATCATTCAAGGGTTTCTGGGAAAACACTGAATGGTTTGCACTGTAAAACGTGGTAACCTGCACTTTTTACCTTAAAAAGTCTGGTTTAACTCATTAAAAATGAGTTTTGGTGGCATTCATTGATTTATATAGGTTGGTTCAATAATGTTAAATAATAATTTTGACTACCATGTTTAAGTAATTATGTTTGTGTGTGTGTCAAGTGATGTCTATGTGTACAAGCAATCTGAATTACTTTCAAAAATAATGCAATTTAGCTTCAAGCATCTTCATGAGCTTCTTCAAGACCTATTCTATTTACTGTCATTATTCATTCTTCCATTCATTCATTCATTCATTGCAACAGCCACCATAGTATCTGACCATCACACTAACAACCATATCCACTGATTGAATGCTGTATTTTTTCACTCCCACTATGCCATTACTGTTTCTTATTTCTCATTTCCCCCTAAAGGCATACAGAGCTTTTCAAAGATGGATGAATCGCTTTTAAACATATACACGGGGGCTATTCCAGGTAAATAAATAATCATACCATCATTTACAGCTGAGATCACCTCATTACAGATGTAACAGGGTCACTGTAGTCTGTGTGCTGTTCAGTAGAATTAACATCCAGCAATGGGAAGAAAAGCAGATGGTTTCTCAAACGCTACATGCTTATGTAAACTCTAAAGCTACTTTATCAAGGTCAAGGTGTGGAATGTCGCATTTTTATTTTATCTAGAAATATTAAAGGCAACAACTTGGCCGGCGTGTTTTCTGATCCGCAGATTACAACCCACACGTCGTTTGGCAAATGGGTTGTTGAAGTTTTATTTGGATATAGTCTACATTTGGCAAGCCCTATTTGACAGTCTTATCCTATTGGAGTTGAAGCAAAAAGAAAGTTTTAAGAGTGAATTTGAAAGATGAGATGAAAACAGATTGTTGCTCAACTGCGCTGTTGAGTTATTGATTCTTTCAGAAATCAACACGCAGCGTGCGTGACTGTACAGCTGCTACTCATCTCTCGAGCCACGTGAGGTGCGCGTTCTCGCGAAGTCCTTCATTTTTAAAGCAGCATTTATTGTTATTGGTATTTATATTTGCTGCGTGGGGAAATTTATGTACCCATCTGTCTGGTGTAAAGCAGTTAGAAATAAGTGAATTGTGAGAGCAGAGTGCTGCGGTGAAATATGTCTTTCGACTGCTCATGGCTGCACAATGGTGTGAGTTTCATTAAAATGAACGCGAGGCATAAGGGCCAATCAGAATCTCATTGCTCTGTTTTGGTTGTTAAACCATGCAAGGGAGAAATGACAGACAGTGTGATTTAATGCCTGAGAGGACCTGAATACCAACATGGCACTATGTAGTATATAAATATATAAATGCATGAATCACAATTAAAGCTTCTTTAGACATGAAGCAACTACTTGGAGGGAACTTAAGAACACCAATGGTAGTACTGAATACCAAACACAGCACAGCCGGAAACTTTTGACGTTATACGCAAGCATAAATAGAAAACTTAATAGCAGGGGGTCTAACAGAGGGAGGGATAATGTGTCTGAGACTCAATGCTGTCAGTCAGCCAATGTTCACTGCATTATGTGCACGCATAACCTGCTAGACAGCAACGTCAATCCAGTTCCATATCAACCCAGTCACTTCTGATAAGTAGATGCATTATGTTGTCAGGTGAGTCTCACAAAACCTGTCACAAGGTCTAGGTCATACTGTATTTCAACCCAATTAAAAAAAATAAAAAAATAAATTAGTTGCTTCAATGCAACTGCCAATGCAGTCCTGGTCAAGACAATCTCCTGAACTCCAAACTGAATGTCAGAATGGGAAAGAAAGGTGATTTAAGCAATTTTGAGCGTGGCATGGCTGTTGGTGCCAGACGGGCCGGTCTGAGTATTTCACAATCTGCTCAGTTACTGGGATTTTCACTCACAACCATTTCTAGTGTTTATAAAGAATGGTGTGAAAAGGGAAAAACATCCAGTATGCGGCAGTCCTGTGAGCGAAAATGCCTTGTTGAGGTCAGAGGAGAATGGGCCGAAGAGAAACTTTGACTGAAATAACCTCTCTTTACAACTGAGGTATGCAGCAAAGCTTTTGTGAAGCCACAACTCGCATAACCTTGAGGCGGATGGGCTACAACAGCAGAAGACCCCACCGGGTACCACTGATCTCCACTAAAAATAGGAAAAAGAGGCTACAATTTGCAAGAGCTCACCAAAAATTGGACAGTTGAAGACTGGAAAAATGTTGCCTGGTCTCATGAGTCTAGATTTCTATTGAGACATTCAGATGGTAGAGTCAGAAGTTGGTGTAAACATAATGAGAACATCATGCCTTGTTACCACTGTGTAGGCTGGTGGTGGTGGTGTAATGGTGTGGGGGATGTTTACTTGGCACACCTTAGGCCCATTAGTGCCAATTGGGCATCGTTTAAAAGCCACAGCCTACCTGAGCATTGTTTCGGACCATGTCCATCCCTTTATGGCCACCATGTACCCATCCTCTGATGGCTAATTCCAGCAGGATAATGCACCATGTCACAAAGCTTGATCATTTCAAATTGGTTTCTTGAGTTAACTGTACTTAAATGTCCCCCACAGCACCAGATCTCAACCCAAAAGAGCATCTTTGGGATGTGGTGGAATAGGAGCTTCTTGCCTTGGATGTGCATCCCACAAATCTCGAAGCGAAGCATGGGTTAGAATAAGTTGACATGTAGTTGCAAAGTTACTTAGTCAGTAGAATGTATGTGGTGTCATCAAAATAAAGTGTTTATTAAAGGTGCAATAGGTGATTTGGAAAATGCTAACTTTAGACTGCTAGCATATGCTCCTACAAATCGCTGTCCAAAGCCATGCCTCCCTCAAAACACATGAATGTGCACAGACCAGAATCGAGTTGACCAGTGACAACGTTATTGGATTACATCATGTGTCGTTCACCGGTGAGAAAACTTTATGAACATAAAAACTGTTTGCCTGCCATTCTCGCTCAGTCTGCACAGCGTGCTTGAAACGTACTGATGACAAATGATGTCTGCATTAACAGGCTGCGCAGTGGTGTGCGAACACAAATGGACTGACAAGAACGTGAGAGCAGACGCATCAGTTCCGACTCGATGCTGCCCCGTTTCCCTGACAACTTGCGGGCAGAGGGGGGAGGTCCACAGAGCTCGCCCACTCCTCACTGTCCGACGCCAGGATAGAGCATCTAGCCTTCTCTACAGCTGCCTTGGCATCGTCAATGGCGGAACCGGCGGCTGATAGTGGCCGTTCTCCATCAGTTAGCGAACCAAGTGAAGCTGGCGAAGCTGACAGGCAAAACGGCGAGCTGGCGCGGGCTAGCAGCGCAGTCTCATCCCAAGACGTCATATAACTGATGTCTTGGGACGTCTTTTGACCATACGTCAACATCTGCCTTTTTAGGGTACCCTTAAACATCAGTTAGATGACGTTATCGGATCCCAGACCTAAACCTACCCCTAAACGTACCCCGTCACCTAACCGACGTTAAAGGTAAAGCGTCAGTTGTATGACGGCGCGGGATCATCAACTAACCGACGTTTAAGGGTACCCTAAAAAGGCGGATGTTGATGTATGGTCAAATCATGACGACTTGGGATGAGACTGTGTTAGGGCTAAAGAAGGCTTGGGGACCCGCTGAGTATGACGCTTTTTACGGCGCGGCACTGTAGCGGGAGGAAGTACGGTCTCAGTGAAGGATGCCAGGCAAGTCCTCAGAGTCACCATGGGCAATAGCTTGCAATGATTGCAGCCACCGTCATTGAGCGTGAGAGCTGCATGATCCTCTCCCAGGCAGGAAATGACATGGCGGTCCCCACCGCTGAGTGCAGCTCGGCACGAGCGGCAGGAAAAAGGCATCTTTAAAAAGACGCAAGCTCTTTTAGAGAGAAGAGAGAGAGAGGGTGTGAGTCGCAGCGGGGAACACACACTATGCAGAGTAAAAGGATATAACGGCAGAAAGTGAAGCAGGTACGGCGACTGAAGGCAGCGAGATGAAGGCCAGCGGCTTCAGATGCAGAGTCTCGTCCCACTTTTCTCAGCTTTTCAGCTTTTCAACTCCGGATCCAGCGATGTGTGAGCTTCGCTGAAGAGATTAAAAATCGTATTATATCAGCCTATCGAGCTATATTTATATGCCCAGGCCACGCCCGCTTTGGCGGAATGTGACGTAGTGGGCGTGAAGCACCCCCACTGGATCTGACATCACCTAGACCTCTCTCGATAGGCTGCTACAGTTGCCGCAGGACAGCCAATAGGCACACGAAGCGTCTTGGCTATGTCTGCATGCCGCCGCAACGCTTTTTACATTAATTCAAAATTAAGGATAATTTTGGCTTCAAGATGTCTTGGAAAAGAGGTTTTCCCCTAGCGTAAGCTATTACGCAGTACGAGAGAACCTCTCGTAAGAGGAAACCTTGTTATTTTATTCGGACTTAATGCAATGATTGAACAAACATTTTATGGTCCAACACCTTCCCCAGACAATATATAAAAATAAATTTACACAGCTTAACATGATTGCTATCAGGATATGAGGAGACTTTCAACCAGCAGAACAAAAAAAAAATCAATTAACAGTTTCTGTAGAGAATCATATTGCACATGTTAGTAGACATATCATTGTATAATAATCAATTTAAACACCCTCATTATTTATAGTATATGCATTCCAGAAAAAAGAGCATTTGTGAATTTATATTATCCCAATTCAGACTACATAACTTATACAGTAACTGCGAGTTTATATCTCTTCAATTCTGTGAATAAGTTCAGAATATAAAGTCACAATTCTGAGAAATAACTTCTTATTTATTTATTTTATTTTATTTAATTTTTTTTTTTGCAATTGCGAGTTCAGATTTAGCAATTCTGATTTTTTTCCTCAGAACTGTGAGAAATAAACCCGCAAATGTGAAATATAATTCCCTTTGTCTCGTAATTGCAATATATAATATTGCAATTCCGAGACAAAGGTGGATATGAGAGATGTTAAAACTTACAATTCTGAATTTATAACTCGTAAGTGCGAGTTTATATCACCACTGAGACAATTTCAAGATATAAAGTCAAAATATAAATTCTGAAAAATAGTCAGAATTGCTAAACATAAACTCACAATTTTAACTTTATGGCCCCTATTTTAACGATCTGAAACGCAAGTATCAAGTGCGACGCGCAAGTAAATTTGTGGGCGGGTCTTGGGCGCTGTTGCTATTTAACCGGCGGGATAAATGACTCTTGCGCCTGGGTCAAATCTAAAAGGGGTTGGTCTGAAGTAGCTTCATTATTCATAGATGTGGTTTGGGCGTAATGGGAAACAAACCAATAAGAGCGTCATCTCACATTCCCTTTAAGAGCATGATGAACAAGGTGCGCTTGTTCCATGGCGCAATACTATTATAACGGCGCATTTACCAGACGCGCTTCACAATCGGTTCACAGCCGAGGAGATCGATGTTCTTGTCAGGGCCGTAAAAGAAAG